GAGCTTCATGTGCTATATCGGTCTGATCCGTATGTGTGTGTGTGTGTGTGTGTGTGTGTGTGTGTGTGTGTGTGTGTGTGTGTGTGTGTAATTGCTTAATTAGCAATAATTAGTTTATATGATCCTAAATTTGTACTTGTGGACTTGTATGAAATTTCCGATGACACGTTTGAATACATTTTTGTATTTCTTCCGTTCGATGGTTAAACGTCACCTGGGCTACACCTGAAAGAACAACATCCTGACCTGTCTTTAAACATTAACAAACGCTCTGTTATAATCAGTGAGAGTTGTGACACCACAAAGTCGTCGTTTTAGCCGGCTTTCATTGCTGACATGAAATAGGCTCAATATTATCAATTTATTGGTTCTTTCTCAGTCTCACTGAGCAACCTGCTTAAAGCCATAAACACACACAGCGCTTTAAATACTGAACTAGTGTTCAGCGTGTCTTCTCACACACTTTTTTGTCACTGTTTTGTTTGCAGCAGTTGCAATGCTTTCATTCTGTATTAGTTATTTAAACCGTTTAAAGAAATCAGAAAGGAAACAGAACGACCTTCATCCTTTTAGACTGTTCTCATGGAGAAGATGTGAACGTAGACGGGGACGTAACCAAACGAGCTGCTAGGAGAAGCTGGCCGACTGTTTCTCAGTGGAGGATAATGACCGAGCTCTGCTGAGGCAGTGGAGACAGCCTGGTTCTCCCCAGGAGATCCTTTCTTCTGCTGATGTACGATAAAGTATCTGAGTGCGCTCGTGTCGTGTTGCTCCTCCATACTCCCACAGAAGTTCTTCCCTCACCTGTCAGCAGCATCCCTTATGGATCGCATGCTCCCGTGTTTTCTTTCCTCTTTGCCCTCAAGCACCATATTTATGATTCAGTACACTGTTATTTTTCTCCATTTGCATGGTTTGTACAGTAATAAAATTCAGTTAGAGCTGCATGACGTGAGAAAAATGTGCATCAGTAATGAAGATGCAAGAAGAAGGTTTGAAGTTTAGAAGTTTTAGCCGACACATCTTAAGTAAAAATATCCGATTAAGCTTAATAACCTGTAAAGAAAAAGATAACGATTAACGCAGATGCTTCATGTACGCTGGGCTGCATTAACAGCTGATCTGCCTGCATTAGACATGCTGATGCGCCTCACGTGTAAAGACGTTCAGGTCTGCAGTGCATGTTTGCAAACGGCTTTCACCTGGACGATCTAAAATACAGTTTGCTTTTATCTTTCCATTCTCACATCAACGGTGCTGGATTGGTCATTTACAGAAATCAGGTCAAATTCAGATCTGCGTTGTGTTTCAACTGTTTCTTTGTTGTTCCATTTTAAATTGCACACATTCGTTTTGGCTCTGTGGCTCAGTGCCGCAGACAGTAACCGTGTAGCCGCGCGGCAGCTGTTCCATAGTTTTGTTACTGTAACCAGGATAATATTGTTTGAAATCAAAACACAGACGGCTCCGTCAGCTTCCAACGCGACATTACGAAGTGACCTTGAGCAAAAGGGGGTGGAGTGAAGTTATCAGCTGATACTAGCTAGCTTGTTTGGCATGCTGATTTAATCAACTGTGAGCAGCAGTGTACAGACTAACACACCTGTTTATGAGCTCCCAGCAACAGACTAACAGAACACGACGTTTGGCTCTCGTGCTCTTGGCTGTTCTGTACCACAGCACCTCATCTGTCCCGTGCTTCCATTTAGTGATGCAGAAACACCAACACCCCAGAAACGGTGGATGGAGCCCAGCCGGTGGTGTTGCACACCGGACGTCCTGGAGCCAGTCTCAGGAAGAAATATCGTTTTTGTTTTTTGGTTTATTTTGTTCTTCTGCATTTGTCTCGTTTTCACTTTATGTATATGTTGGCAGTCTCTGGATGAATGCGTTGACTTTAGAAAGTCCAAACAGGCTTTAAACCTGTCTCATAAAAACTTTCTGATTTGCTGTTCCTAATTCTTGGAAGAAACTGCTCAATCAAATGTCACTGTGCAACATTCGCCTGCAGTACGATCCTTCAGTGACAAATATCTGACTGCCTGTCTCTGTGCGTCTCCTGCAGTGGAGGAGTCTGACATTATAGACTTGGAGAAGCGCTACTGGTTGCTGAAAGCTCAGTCCAGGACCGGCCGCTTTGACTTGGAAACCTTCGTTCCTCTCGTCTCTCCTCCTATTCATGCGTCACTGAGTGAAGGTAAGACGATACTTACTCAGTGTCATATCTGCATAGCTTTGCAATAATGATGAAGAAACGAGACCAAAGTGGCGTTCTCGCTTTGAATACGCGACCTCAGCAGAGAACACGACCTGCTTTAAGCGTGCCTAATGTTATGTGTTGTTGATCTTGTTTTTTAGGCTTGTTTCACGCCTTCGATGAAAATCGGGACAATCACATCGACTTTAAAGAGATCTCTTGTGGGCTCTCCGCATGCTGCAGGGGGCCTGTTGCTGAGAGACAGAAATGTAAGGCTCGCTGTGGATTCAGATCCACACAGACACCCCACACAAGTCCCACCGCTGCCCATAACAAGCCCGTTTCTCAGTTGAAGCTGATATCCAGGGTTTAAATGTCTTTTTTTTCCTTAAAGAAAGTCCCGATCGGTCGGTACAGTCATGGACCGCTCTCATCAGGACTTCCACTGGTGCTTGAAATTACATTTGCACTGGCAGCAGTGGCAGCGTGTCGGATTTCCTGCTCGTACACTGAACGGCACGATGCATCGGCGTGGTGCTTCATCAACATCATAAACGTCTTTTTGGTCTCTTTCACTTCCAGTTTGCTTTAAAGTGTTTGATGTGGACCGTGATGGCGTTCTGTCTCGAGATGAGCTTCATGAAATGGTGGTGGCCTTGCTGGAGGTGTGGAAGGACAATCGGACAGACTTACTCCCTGTAAGTAAACTCACAGTGTCACACACACGCACACAACCCTCCAGAGCGATCAAGGGTGAACTTTCATGTTTATGCCTACTGGAACCGGACTCATGCACAGACCTGTGCTCTGTTCTTTTAACTGTGGAAGGTAATTATAGCAGTCAGGCTTTTGTGCGTGAGAGAGGTTTTTCTTTTTCTGATAACAAAATATTTTCTGATCTGTTTAAGAGACGTATGCAAATATGCACATTCAGCATAAATAGAATGTAAATCTGTAAATTTGTTCTCTTTCTGAACTTTTCCACTATCAGCATCGATATTTCTCCCTCCTCGTGTGTTTTTTTTTTCACTAGTTTTGCATTTGGCTAGGGGCGTTACTGGTAGCATTAGGCGATACCTGGACCCTGCAGAGGTTGCACAGGTAGTTCAACTCCTCCAGGATGGCACATCAATATTTTGCCATTGCCAGAAGGATTGCTGTTTGCTTCAGCACAGTCTGAAGAACATGAAGGAGATTCCAGGAGACCAACAGTTACTCTAGGAGAGCTGGACACGACTCCAGAAGGTCCTTAACCGTCAGCAGGACCGGTATCTGCTCCTTTGTGCACAGAGGAACAGGATAAGCACCGCCAGAGCTACAAAATGACCTCCAGCACTGGTGTGAATGTCTCTGACCAAACAACCAGACTTCATGACGGTGGCCTGAGAGCCCATCATCCTCCACTGGTCCACCACTGTCCATCACTGGCACCTTCTGTTTTTCACAGATGAGAGCAGGTTCACCCTGAGCACATGTGACAGATGTAAAAGGGTCTGAATGAGTCATGGGGAACATTGTTGCATGTAAGCTTGTTCAGTAGGGGGGCATATCCACAGAGGGACATACAGACCTCTACAGGCTAGTTAACGGCACCCTGGCTGCCATCAGGTACCAGCGTGAACTCCACTGACCCACTGTCAGACCCTGCTCTGGTGTAGTGGGTTCTTACTGGTGCACGACAATGCCCGGCCTCACGTGGTGCAAACGCGCAGTCAGGTACCAAAGGATGAACGAAGTGGTGCCGTCCACTGCTCCCATGCTCACCCAACCTAAACCCAAGTCTGAGACATCAGAGCATCGAGTGTCAGCAGGTTGCGCGTCAGACTGTCCGGGAGCTCAGTGATGGCCTGCTGCAGATGTGGAGGAGGTTAAGACGAGGCGCTTACTGTGTTTTGCTGCATGCTGATCTATTGTGTTGCTGTTGCAGGAGCTGCAGAGTAGTGTGTCAGACATAGTAGAAGACATCCTAAAGATGCACGACACAACTAAGGTAAGACAGCTCCATGTTATCGTCGCTGGAACACAGTCCTGTGCAAAACCTCTAAATACATAAATGCTCATTAGTATTCATGATACATTTTTAAGGCTTTTAAAGCGTCTGCAGCTTTAAAGAAATCATTGCTCTCGTTCAGAAAAAGCAAACACTTTTCACGCAGCCGTGTGAGTGTTGGCTGCTCACTGACAATAACCTCGCAGTCCTCAGCCACCTTATCGTACCCACAGCTATTCGAAGGCGTCACAGCAGTGTTTATTTTCAGAGTTGCGTGCCTGATTATGTTCGCCTTGGTTCTATTTCACTCTCCACCAGCTGGGTCACCTGACCCTCGAGGACTACCAGATCTGGAGTGTAAAGAGCGCTTTGGCCAACGAGTTCCTGAACCTGCTTTTTCAGGTCAGCACCCAGATGCTACGGTCTTAAAACTCACACCGTGTTCACGTTGGTTGAGTATTTATTGGTTATCCTCGTGTATTTTCATCTTTATCTCGGTTCAGGTGTGCCACATAGTCCTGGGGCTCAGGCCTGCTACTCCAGAGGAGGAGGGGCAAATCATCAGGTACGTACCTGTCCTCGCCACCTGTCCAGTCATTGTTTGGTTGAAAGGTCCGATTTGTGATTTTCTCCTTTGTGTGTGTGTGTAGGGGTTGGTTAGAGAGGGAGAGCAGACATGGGCTGCAGCAAGGCCAGAACTGGTTCCTCATCTCGATGCTGTGGTGGCAGCAGTGGAAAGACTACGTTAAATATGTAAGTAGTGCATTAACGGGAGTTTTTATTGAGCTCTTTCCCCTCAGACGTCTGTTCTGTTTTCTGAGCTGAGCAGGTTTCTGGCGTCGGGAGCAAAATGATTGAGCGCGCGTTAGAAATGAGTCTGATCTCTGTCTAACACCTGGAACCTGTTCTGATGGTCGTCAAACCACCTCTGATATGTACCAAGATGTCACAACTTGTCATTAAGGGTACGGGGAGGTTGTCAAACATTGTCATTATGAGGAAAGCTTTAAATATAGCTGCTAATAGCTGACAGCACTGTGGTTAACATATGTTAGGCAGCGTCCCGTGATGCTGTGCGGTGAACAGCACAGGATCGAATATTCAGCGGACACTCTTTGAGTCGCCTTTTCTGCACAGAAACAGGAACCGGTCACAATCTCGTTACTCCATGCATTTGTTTATTCGGGGCCTTTTAAAGTCGAGTGCCCTGTTTTCACCTTCACCTCTCATTCACTTTCATACATCACTACAAAGCTTAGCTACAGGCCATTACATGCGTGACAGCTGTCCTGTTATTATTTATATATGTCTCGGGTGTGTGCGATTTAGCAGTGGTATATGTATTTATATTTCCCCCACTTAAAAACATCTGCGACAGTTTCTGTTTCCATTCATGCACTTCCAGTCAGTGTGTCAGACTCATCGTTGCATCTTGTGCTGTAACTTCACTGGGACAGAAGCAGTGACCATCAGCCAGTAAGATAAAACGTGATAGCGGCTCTCACGGTAAACAATCCTGCCAATTGTGTCGTCTTCCCCTCAGGAGCATAAGGGCATCGTGGTGGAACAGCCGTCCATCCTGAGCTCACTCAGAACTCCAATGGCCACGGCCACCGTCGAGCCTGCCCTCCCTGAAAGCCTGGGAGGACCGGCCACGTCCGGCCACGTCAGCCCCACCGAGGAGAGGTCACCCGATGCCGTGTCCAGTGCCTCAGAGGCTACAGAAACTGGTCAGTCCGCACATCTCTTTATAGAAACGGATTGTAGATCAAAATGGAAATGGTGGGTGTTATTTTTGTACTATGTATTTGCTCTGCTCCCTCTCTGTCTCAGCAGCACTGAGCCCACAGGTAGCCTCAGCCACAGAGAGCTGTTTCGCACGTCAGCACAACGTCTCAGACAACAACAATCAGTGTTTTTCTGGAGCCAACGGCCACCTCCCCTCCCAGCTGGCAGCACAAAGACCCGGAGCCATCGACAACCAGCCTCTGGTCACCACTGACCCCATGAAGGCAAGGACTAACTCAGTATGGCTGTAATAAGGTCGCAGCTTTTCAGGCATAGCGCGCGTCCCGTATCACGTTCACAGCTCAGCTGGAGCGTATGTTTGACACACGAGCTCAGAGAAGCCGCTCATTCCAGCAGCGTTGCGCTCCCTCCTGATTTGCATTCTGGGTGGTGCTCATGCATCATGTTTTACAAAGCTGTGCGTCTAACAGACAGATGTGGTCCTGGCTTTTGACAATGAGGGCGTCTGCAATCTTTAGCACGTGTAAACAAACCCAAACCGTATGACCAGATTCTTTCTCGGCTTGTTTTGGAGTCGCTCCTCATCTGCTGGCAAAGGCTCCGCGGGGCCAGATGGCACCTCTCTTTCCTTTTGTCTTATCTTTCTGTAATCATCGCAGCATTTCTGCTCGTGTGTAGCATCAGGGTGCTGTCTCTTTTTATAATTCAGAGAGACAGACCAGCGTCTTTGTGCCCTTATTCGAATGCTGATGTGTGTCCCGTGTCCTGTGCAGGCGCCCACGTTAACTATGGAGGGCGGCAGGCTAAAACGCTCCCTGCAGCTGCTGCCTCGTAGAGACTTTGAGACGGTGCCAGAGCCTGTGTGGCGGGCGCTCTACCACTGGTACGGTGCCAACCTCAGCCTGCCGCGACCGGTGAGTGAACACAGCAAACCACTCACAAGCTAATGAAGTTCACTTTCACTGTGATGCAGTACCTGGGAATAATCAGTCAGCTGCTGGGCTGGAGCAGGTCATCCATGAGCAAACAAATGAGTGTGTAGGCAAAACTGGAAGTTCAAAAGTAGCTGCTTTCTATACAAATTCAATAAAAATGAATACAGCACATGTGTGTTTTTGTACTCCCTCGCTTTTATCCAAGCATGCACAGAGAACCACGACTGTGACAGTCATTAGCACTGATGACGTTTCCACGGGTTACCACACTGCTGTCAAATTCAGCTTTATTTATAAAGCTCCAAATCACAACAACAGTTTCCTCAGGGGCTTTATATTGTACATAAGGTCATCTGTTGAACTTCAGCAACATGCAGACAGTAAGCACATGTTCTCTCAGTAAATATCCTACTTTACTAGTATTACGTGCATTTGTTGTACTCCACTTTAGCTGCGTAGAAGTCACATGGTTTCAGATTTAAGTGCAGATTAAAGTTGAGAGTGCAGAAAAAAGGTTTATATTCAGATGTGCTGCATGTCTCTTGTGTTTTATGTTGATTATTAGTACAAGAATGTTTCATGGGCCTTTGAAATTCCTTCCCCTGCAGGTAATCTTGGAAAGCAAGACAGGCCAGCCGGAGCTGGAACTCTTCCCCCGCTACCTCCTCTTCCTTCGCCAGCAGCCGGCCACGCGCTCCCCCCAGTCCAACATCTGGGTCAATATGGGTATGACCAGCCTGCGAATGTTCCCACCGAATTTACCCCCCACAAGAGGTAACGTAAGCCTGCAGCAAGACCAGAGCAAGCCGTCGAACAGTGCTTCATTCAGCAACCCCGCATCCCCCGCCTCCTCTCCGTTAATCTTCTTTAAGTTGACTGATCCAACCCAGGCGATTCTCTGGAGTGAACCCACGGCACACGAAGGAGAAATGCTGATCAGTCTAACACTGGAATAATCAAACCATTTTATTTTCATCTACACAGCTCGTCGTAGTGTTATTTAGCAGGCGGAGCAGTGAGCGGCGTAGTCACAGTCGCCTCGGTCTCCCTGCTTTTCAGAACAATTTCCAAAATGAGGAAACTTCAGGAAAACCCCAAACAGGGAGCAGCAGCTGCTTCTAAACGTTATCCATCACCACATAAAGAAATGTGCTTCCTGTCAGCAGAAAACCTGTTGCTATGGTTACGTCCCCAATTCTAAAAAACCCAATGATTTTCTCACAGATCCGTGTCGTGGACAACGTCAGATGTTTAAACTAAGAAAACTATGAGCTCATTTTGAACACGTTTAAAACACGGAGACTGCAGCGAGTTCACAGCTACGCAGCTTCCTGTCTGAACAGCACCTGTAAACAGGCCTGAGGACAGCAGTGATGCTTTCGTTCTTGTCCGAGACGACTCCGCCTGCTCCTGTGGGGTCTTCAGTGTTTTTAGTCGGTCAAAGGTCTGGACTGCCCCGACTAGTATGAAGCCACGCTGTGGTAATACATGCAGCGTGCATTGTTCCAGTGCACTTGCAGGTTCTAACTTCACTGTAACTTTCTGCACTGATGCTGTCTTTCCAGATGTGAAACCTGTGCTGGAAGGGCTCTGATGCACCCTAGACCGTCAGTGGCCCCTCTCTTCATTGGTCCACAAAGCAGTTTCTGTGCCTTCTTAAAACCATAAAGCCAGCAGCCTTACTGGGCCTGGATGTTCATTTCCTGATTCTTCTTTGTTTGATAGAACTTCAACCTTCATTTCTAATTACTGGGTGACATGAACACATGGCAGTGGCAGCTTGCAGCCCAATATAGATTTTTAGCTTTGTCAGTAGTTTCTTTCTCCAGATTCTTGGAGTCTTTTCCAGCAGGTGTGAGTGAGCTGTAGGTAGATGGCTGCTCAGCCATATGAGGTAAAACGCTCCCAGTTGACTCTATTTATAGACCCACCCACTCACACAGTAAGCGATGCCTGATTTTCAGCTCAGCGGTTCATTCTCTCTTGCATAGTGTATAAACGGACACCTGTAAACAAAAGATGTCCCACTGCGGCGAGATGACGAGGCGAAATGCGTAGGCGTGCGTAGTCACTCGAGCTGTAATCAGATTGGAGATGCTCGGCGCTCACCCCGAGCTTGCCGGCACTAATCAAGTCAACAGATCGAGTTTCTGGTTACAGGTTTCACAGAGCCCGCTGAGTTTTAGCTTCCATCGTGACTCACGCTATCTGAGCAGCCGCTGTCATTGCTGGGCATTCAGACCTTTGTTAGGCATGGAGTCGAGTATCTGATATACTGCAGATCTCATTTATACCTCATATTCCACAGAATGTCATCCTGACAGCTGTAGGCGGCAGTGAAGCATCACACCAAGTTTATAGGATGCTTAATTACAAAGCTGTGCACATGAAAAACCCTCCAATCAATCTCGATTGTAACAGGACTAATGTTGCCTGGTTTGTGTTTGATTTAATCCACACAGTCCTCTAAATTCACTAAGTTGATTGACCAATCAAACCTGCACTGATTGCCCTTTTCTTGCTGCTTTCTTACAACTAATCCTCAGTCAGCAACATGCTGCTGTTGGTACCGATCAGCTGTTTGGGTCTGCCAACCTGTGAACAGATGAACAGTGATTATGTGAGAGCCAATGGGAACAGACATTCGTGTGAATGAATAATTGCATCCGAGCGTGGCTGGGGTATGTCACTGTTGCTTTCTTCGAGCAGGTAACGTGCCATCCCCCAACGCTCCTCTGAAGAGGATGCTGGCCTACACGGGCTGCTTCAGCCGCATGGGCACCATTAAGGACATCCACCTGTACCTGTCGCAAAGGCTCCGCATCAAGGAGGAGGACATGAGGCTCTGGCTCTACAACAGTGAGGTGAGGATCAAATCTCTCACAGCGATCCCCGCTATTTAACCCTGGACTTTGAGACACACACACACTGTTGTTATATTTTTGGGCTCTGATGAGATATCAGATATATGTTAGCCAATGTCTGCTTTGGTTTCCAGAGAAAGTAGAGAACAACCAGAAACACAACAGGCCCAGATGTTTGCAGGAGCTTTACTGTCATGAAGCTGATGAGATGCTTAAAAGGAAAACAGAGAAGAAAGCGTTTCGTAGGACAGAGCTTCAGATGAGAGTGCTGGAGAGATTATTGTTTATGAAGGCCATACGAGCCTTTATTAGAGTTTTCTGCAGCACACTGAATGCATTTTAAAGGAAAATGTATTCCCAGTGTCAGAACACTTTCAGAATCCCAAAGCGCACATCCAACTGCATGAAAGTATGTTTAACAGGGAGAAATCCACTGCTTTTAAAAGCCTTGTGTTGTTCCCTAAATCCCATTTCTATTGAAGAAAGCTTGAATCTCCTGCAGGAAGCACTGCTGCTACAAAGCAGAGTGCTAGATGCTTCCTGTAGACATTATTATGTAGCTGAAAGTTGGGGGTGGTGGTAAGTCTGAACTTATATGTGCATTCGTTCAGTGTGGAGCAGTCGTGGCCCAGCAGATCGTTTTGCCCCCCAGGACCTTCTTGCAGATTAACCCGGCCCAGACTACAGCTGCTTTTAAAATAAGCTGACACAGAAGAAAGCTGAGCAGAGCTGTTAGCTGAAAGAAGTCAAAAGTTATTAAACAGCCATATGAACTGCAACCAATCTTCTCCTGTTTCCTTTACCTGTTGTTCACTAGAACTACCTCACACTTCTGGATGATGAAGATCACACACTGGAAAGCCTGAAGATCCAGGATGAGCAGCAGCTGGTTATTGAAGGTGTTGTTTCTCCCCAGAGTTGCTGATCGTTCTGTATCAGGCACAGCAGAGTGGAACAAACATGTCTTTTGTTTCTCCACAGTCAGGAACAAAGACATGAGCTGGCCTGAGGAAATGTCTTTCATTGCCAACAGTAGTAAGATGGACAGACACAAAGGTAAGTTTAAAGAGCGCACTGTGCAACCGCTGACATGCTCTGATAGGAGGCTGTAATGTTTCTTCTGCTTTTGCCTCTAAAGAAAAGTCTCTGGAGATCATTTTTTGGCCTTTGTACAGCTTTATTTGAAAGGGTAGAGTGACGAGAGAGCGGGGGGGAGACGTGCGGCAAACGGCCACGGGTCGGATTCGAACCCGGGCCGGCCGCTCTCAGCCACGCGGCCTCATATTGTGGTCGCAAATTTTGAAGCCACCCTGATAACCTTCTCCCACCAACGATGTGGAGATCCAACCTCTTTAGATCCAATTAAAATCAAGACACTCAAAAAGATGCTCTGGAAAAGAGCAGAATTCTTGGAACAGAGTTTAATACACTGAATCATATGAACAGCAGGAAAAATACATACAGACATTTAGCAAGAAAATTGCAAAGCAGAAAGCAAGCAAAGCAAAACCCCGGGGTGTACAGCCTTAAGCACAGACAGCAGAGCAACACCGAGACGGACAGGAGGCAGCAGCAGGAGGAAAAAGAGCTCTGGGGGTGTCCTCGGGTCCCCTAATACAGGGACCAGTATCCCCCTGCTGCTGGGTAACTTTCCCACCCATCCAAACACAGCTGCAGGGGTCAGGTAGCGGCCAAGGTCTTGGCCAAAGGCCAGTCAGGACTCCGGCTACCCCCTGCTCTGGCTCATCACAATAGGTCATGACACAGTTAAACACCACACAGTAATCCTAATTATTAAATCTTATACAGCAAGTGGCACAATCGTATAACATACATGCTTTCTCATATATAAAAACACTTCAGTGTGTGTGTGTGTGT